CTGAGTTTTAATTCCAGCTGCACCGCTGACTAGTTGTGCACCTTTGGTGAGTTACTGTAGGTGGGACCAATGATGTCTTCTTCAAAATGCTGTAGGAAAGACCGAATTACTGTATGTAAAGCCATGAGCACAGTGCCAGGCTGAAGGAAAGGGCTCAGTGGGTAAGTGGGAGTTGTGGTCCTCCTCCTCTTATTCCACCAAGAGGATATGCCTGGGCATAAACAGAACTTTGGGCAAGCCCTTTTTCTGTTTACACCTAAATAATTTGGTATACTCTTAAATATACTTTGACACATGTCCTCCTGCAGTGAAACATAGAAAGGCAAATATCTTCCTCCTGTTCTCTGTGAGGAGAGGATAGCATGATGTGTTGTTTATTTTCTGGTAGAATCAGGAATAACTCGGGGGTCTCGGTGATCAGTGTACACAGCCCTGTGTGTGTACTGCCATTCTCTCAGCACAGACCAGACCAGCCTTTTTCAAACTGAGATCCCCGGCCTGCATCAGAATCACCTAAGACACTGGTTAAATAAATAAAATAAAAGCCAGCTCTCTAACCCCAGACCTACTGAACAGAATCTCTGGGGCTGAGGTCTTAGAACATGCATATAAAATAAGCCACCCGGGTTATTCTTGTGTATAAAAAACATTTAGAAATACTGGCCCATACTCTCCGTGTCACTCCCCTGCCTTTGCTTAAGCTATTTCCTTGGCTTGGAGTAGTCTTTCCTCTTCTATAGAATTCTTATACATTTTTCGAATGCTACCTCTTCCTAAAAGCCCTTCCAGATTCTCCCAAATTGGAAGTGAATTTTGTATCTTCGTTATTACAGTTATTACAGTCTACCTCATAGAGTTTTGCTAGTTTTTCACCAAACAGTAAGCAGCTAGAGGGCAGTGATTGCCTGATTGCCAGTTATCGTAATAACTATCCCTGGTGCCCAGCAAAGTGCTTTGTGTATAATGGGCACTAAAAGAGTATCTGTAATTTGGATTGATTCTCTACTGCTTTATTCCAATAAAACCTTCTGTTCTGATTTCCTCCGAAGAGCACAGATCCCTTCAGAGTACGTATTATTAAGCTCAGGGTGATGGAGGACGGTCCTAATAAACATGATCAGCCTTACATCCCAGCACATCAGAATTGGGATGTGTGTTTGTGTATGACATGAGCAGTTGTTTGACACCCCTGCTTCTTCCTCACCCTCATCTTTGGATATCATTTGTAAGGCACATTGAAAGAGTCTGCCAAAGTCCCAGTTATAACACATCATCATGCTTGTCCTCTGGGACTCTAAGATAGATAAAGTGCTTGCAGCTGTGCTTCCACTGATGTCCTAGAGGTATTTCCTACATTCATGTGAGGAGCAAAGGTATAGAGGTGAACTCCACTTTCTCGTAAGTTGGTTTCTCCAAAGCTGCACTATCCCTGTCAATGATATTTTAGGCACTCTTTTTGGTTTTGGACAACTTTTAATCCTGTCCTGTGCTTCTCTATCAACTGGCTTGTTGGATAGGGCATGGCCCAGATCGTTGGCAATATAAAGTGATGCACACATGGGAGCTATCCAGTTCTCTTATATACTGGAGGGTGACGAAGAAAACATGATAGTAGAGGAGGGTCTGATTAGTGGGGATTAGAAAGGGATGTAATAACTGAGAGGGATAGCACATTAGGGAGTTTCTCCAAATATTAGATCCTTAAGAGTCTTACATTGATTATTTTACTTCACACAAGGCAGCAAGCTTAAGCCGTGAAAACTATTGGATTTGGCAGGTGAAATCAGATTTTCATTGGGTAGATTAGGATTTATGAAAGCAATAGTGTTCATGAAAGTATGGTGGAGAAGACAGCTGTCCTAGTGGGGGACTCCTTACAAATTTAGGGAGATTCATCTTTTCGATATTTCTGTCTTTAGTTTTCTAATGGAAATTCAATAAAAAGAACTCCAGATTACCACAGTTAATCGCCTAGTAAACACATGGAATACATAAATGAGTAGATCAGAAATTTTAATTTCAGGCAGAGGAAGACCTCTCCCTTTCACTGCACCCCTCCAAAGCATTCAGGGCTATAAAGTGACCAGAGATAACGAGAAAAGGTCACAGAACTTGGTGAGAGGAGCTGACTAAGTTTTAACAGTAAATTTAATGGAAATTCATGGAATAGGGGGTGGGGTAATAAAGTTGAACTGGGCCTGGGAGAATGGAGATAATGCATGTTGATCATTCCTTGAGCAATTGGCTTGGGGAAAAAAATGGTAATTGTATCAGCAGGATAAAGTTCATGTTTATAAAAAAAAAAAAACAGAGAGTACAATTCCAGCACCCCAAGGAATTCCCTTGCGCTAACCCCTTGCAGTGAAACCCTCCCTCCACCCCTAATCCCTGGCAACCATCCCTGTAGTTTTTTCTTTTTTAGGCTGTCATATAGATTCAGTCATACAATATGTAAAAGACTGGACTCCTTCACTGAGCATAATGCCTGCTCAGTGTAAATTTTAAACATATTTTCAAGTACAAAGAATCCCCCCTCTCCAAAACAAAACAAGCAGGAACCTGAGAAGATGGGTGTAGAGAAAATGAGTTAGGGACATTGAAATGTAAACAGACATCTAGCTCATGAAGATGGTTCCAGTCCTCATGGAACCTAGGCAAGCTTGTTAGCTTTGAACGTGTGGTGGACAGGATGGAGAGGAGGGCAGTGGTACCCTTGACCAGTTAAATATTTTCTTTTCTCAAACTAGCCTCCTTTCCTGCTCTGAACTTTCCCACTACCTCCCCACTTCTCAGGGTGGGTAGGGGCAGGGAGAAATACACACATACACACTTACACATTCATAAATACATGTATCTCCATTTTCATGGCATAAGCATTTCATTTATAAAGAGCTCATCAACCTTTCAGTTTCAACTTCACATTTAGTTGAGGGCTATCAGATGACGCATAGTGGTACAGGATTTTTAATCTAGAGCTGTACACTTGTTTCTCAATCCAAGATTTATTTTGCAAAACTTTTCTTTCTAAAGTTTTTTTCCTTCAAATTAATAGGAATTTAAACATTAGAAATTACAGAGGGTAAACAATTTAACTTTTGCTATCTATAATTGGAATTTTTAGATGTAATTTGTTAGTAATCATCTCTGTACAAGGTTTTCAAACTTGGTTTTTGGCAGTGTTATTTTTACAAATTATATATATATATAATTTTATTATAAAAGCACTTACTAATTTCATATTCACTGACTCCCTCTGTATGCTTTTTCATTAGGAATTAACTGCACTTTTGTTGTTCTTGTTTTTTTCCTATAGTTGTGATATTCAAAGCATAGATGATTGTTATTTCCCCAAAGAGGAAAAGCAGGCAGACTTTCTTGGGACATTTATCACATTCATTAATTATTACCTTCACCTAATTATTTTTCTCATGACGGTTGATATATTCATGTTCTCGTATGTGTTGACCACATATTCTGCTGCTGATGTAATTTGTGTGGAGATACAAGGAGCTGTTAACCATATACCAGAGGTCTTCAAAGGACAGTGAAGCAGGTTACTCTTGGTGCTAGCATTGTGGTTATTATATAATCTAACGTATTATTGTTCTGCCATAAATAGAAGTATTTTACTGTATCTTTTCATTTGTCTGGAAGGCGATTATTTGATACTTTTCATATATTCTGAAGTTAGAATATAAGCCTGAAAAGCCCTCAGAGTGGTCAACTTTTGTTAAAAGTAAATGTAATGAACCTTATTCCTACTGTGACAGGTGTTTACATATATTGCTTTATTTAATCTCCACAGTAATCTTATGTGATAGTCATTGCTTCCACATTTTACAGAAGAGGAAATTGAAACTCTGGAGGTTATAGAACTTGTCCAGGGTCATACATCTATAGCTTGGCTCTCAACTTGGGTTTGTGTGTTCCTCAAGATCCTGATTCTGAGTCCATTTACTCCCACATTCAGTCATTCACACAAATATTTTTTCAGTATTTACCACGTGACAGGCCCTGGGTATCCAGGGTTAAAGACAGGTATATCGAATCCTGAGGAATTCCTTTATCTGTTTTTTGGGCTGTAGTAAATATGAAGCAGACTAGAAAAGAGATGAGGCTTAAGGACAAAGACACTGTCTATCTTATCTACTGTTGCATCCACAGGACAAGCATAGCACATAGTAGGAGTTCAATAAATACATGTCGAATGGATGAATGATATTAGTGAGAAGTAATAGCCAATTAGGAGAGAGAACTAAGTGTAGGAAGGGTATAAAATCAAAGAGAACTGTCCTGGACCATTTAGTGTTTGAATAAGCAATTGTGTACCTCACTAGCCCCAGAGGGTGTGGAGAGACTTCAGTGTGCTCACTGGTGCCAGAAGGATGACCTGGGGCCCCCGAGTGGCTAAGGCGACCCAGGCTCTGTGCAACAGGAAGAGAGTCACTCATGAACATTACATCCTGTTTAAAAAGCAAGGAAGTATGTAAGACATTTTAGGCAAGTTTCCATTAAAAAATGGCCCTTTTCCCCTTAAAGTATGCTAAAGGGCTAAACTTCAGTGTCTTGGAAAAATCACATAGGTGGAGGAGTTATTTCCCAAACAATATTGGATTAAGAGGTATTACGTAATATAGTTTTTCTCATTCCTGGTAAATTATAACATTAAATTTTCATGCCAAATGAATCTTTAAAAAATTCAAATTATACTCTGGAAGATACCTTATAAAGGACTATATATAGTACATGGCACATAAATATCTATTTTATGTAACAAGTGAATAGGTTGCATAGAATAACAAAAGTTTTTGAGTAATATAACTTGAAAGAATTATGATGTGTTGAAGTCATGTTTGGAATATCATTTAACTTTTTGTAAGGAAAAAGTGGGGAAATTAGGAAACTACTGAAATGATTTCAATTTCATTACTCAACAGCATCGATGCGCTACTTTCTTGTCCCAAGAATGTATCTATTAACAGTGATGTTTTGCCTTACAGCTTTTCTGGGAGAAGAGGCTACAAGGACTTAGTGCATCAGATGTAACTGAACAAATTATAAAAACCATGGAACTACCTAAAGGTCTTCAAGGTATTATCCAAGTTCAGTTGAGCAGTACCTACTATGTGCCAGGCTCTGTGTTAGGTGCAGTGGAGTCAGACATAATTGAGACAGACAAGTCTTTGCTTTGGGGACTGTATGCCTTGCTGGATGAGGTACCTCTTGGGTTTTAGTAAACCCAGAGGAAATGTACCTGAAGAGCTTGTATGTTGCAGGGATGCATCAGGGCAGTGTCTTACTTAAGATTTTTTTCTGCGTGTACATTTTGGCTTTAGGTTAGTTAGGTTCATCATGTAAATTAACGCATGTTCTGCTTTTAGAACCAAATGCAGCTGAATGATAGGATGTCCCAAGCTTCCTGCTCAAAGCAGCATCTGGCCCCAGCACATCCTCTTTCTGTCCTCCTCTTATCAAAAGAGCAGCCAACAGCTCTCCTTCTGCCTCTCCCTCCACAAACTGCTGCTGCAAGTAGCAGTGGGAGCAGATGCCCATTGGTCCAGTGACAGGAGTGAGTGGGATCTGGGGTGGAGAGCTCAGTTGCTGGTGTGCTTGTCATATCATATGTTAATTCCAACTTCTAGAGAAGCATTATTTTTCAAGTATTGGAACTTTGGCTTCTAAAACTTGATACATTGTGGATTGCTCAAAAATCCTCATAATTCATGGTTAGAATATTGTCTCATCCCTCTGTGCTCTTGGAAATTATTGCTTTAACTGGTTTAACAAGTTTAGGACTTTAAGCAATGCACTTAAATGTAGCCATGGTTCCAGTCTCCTACATGTAGTCAAGGTGTGCAGTTTTTAATTCTGTTAATTTGGATATTTTGTTAGGTATTTGAAAAAGCTGTTAAAGGTGCAGGTACAGCATACTTGCATTGGCTTTTCCTTTGAAATCCCTACACAAAAAAGATAAGTTTTGAGATATGGCTAGAAATGAATGTTAAACAGCTACAGGGGAAACTATTCCAGGATCCTAGGAACACATTAATAGGGATACTGGAGTGTAATATGACCTTAGAAGGGACTTAGATCATTAAAATAATTGAACTTGCTTGTGGAAATGTAGCCAACTTTTAAAAAGTTTAATACTTTGGAAAATGTATTTTTAAGTTATGTTAAAGTTTTATTATAATTCTCAGGTATTTTGTTACTGTTTCTTTAATGTTAATTCTTTGGTGTATAATAACTAAATAGATATGCTATTGTCCTTTGCTGCTTTGGCTTGTGTCAGTTTTAAATAGCTGATCCCAAATGAATATAAAGATATCAGTTGTTTTAGGTTACATAAGGTTTGCTCAGCACATCTAGAAATTTCCTTTAACTCATATATGTTTCTAATTGCAGGAGTTGGTCCAGGTAGTAATGATGAGACCCTTTTATCTGCTGTTGCCAGTGCTTTGCACACAAGCTCTGCACCGATCACAGGGCAAGTCTCCGCTGCTGTGGAAAAGAACCCCGCTGTTTGGCTTAACACGTCTCAACCCCTCTGCAAGGCTTTCATTGTCACAGATGAAGACATTCGGTAAGGCAGCTTAACATGACTTCAAAAGCTTGTCTTTTACACTTGTTACATTTTATACTGCCTATTAGGTTCCGTGGCACATCTAGTAAGTGATGAATCAATCAGAAAGAGCTTTTGTGAAACTAATGAAAGGTGATAGAGAACATTTAAAACAAATACGTGCTTGAAAAAGGTAGCAGTGCTGTGTATAAGGCATATCATCACGATGATGTCCAAAGGACAGATCAGTTGTACTCTCTCCACATCATTTTTGCAGTGTCTTATGAAATGTGGGGTTCTGCCTTTCTGCTCTAAGAACCCCTTCATTCAGTTATGCCTTTTGTGATTGCTGACTGCATTGGTTTGTCTGCAGTAGCAGTTCATTGCCGTGCTACTTTAAGTTCAGTTGTGTTTTCAAAATTCAGTTTACTTATCTTGATTATATTTACCTCACTTAAGCTCAATTTAGAGATTTATTTCTCTCTACTTCAACCTGTTTCAAGTAAAGATTTAAGGTGACTCCAAAGACACACACACACACACACACACACACACACACACACACACACACACACACACACACACACACACACACACACACACACACA